ATCTTTTTTGATGAGATCAGCGTTTTCGCAAACGCGCACGTCGCAATATGATTCTTTCGATGTCCGCCGTAATTCGTTCTGTTATGGTCGGATTGAAATCTACGAGATAATAAAAATCCGCGAGAAATTAAAAAAGCTATACTACTGCATGCTAAAATATGAGTATGAAATAATCGGGTGACATTTTCGCGGACATAAGATCGATGAAGGAGAGACGATAAAAGAAATCCAAGTTCGAAACCTACATTCATGTCACAACACGTTACAAAGATCATCTATTTCCATCACTCGATCTGAACTGTACTCAAAGCTGTATCGAAGATCCAGTATTCTCATAATCGTAATAAGAATAAATTGCATATTTTTATGAGTTCTATGAGAAGTTATCATCAGCGTTTTAGAAAGAATAAAGTAATTTAAATCATATTGCTCTTTCTTTAAAATGTCAAATTGAAAAGAGATATCGATTTAATTTTTTTTCTATAGTAATAGATGCTAAGATCAGAGAGTATGCAGTCTATACTTATTACGTTTATGAGTATTCTCACTCGCTCGGTCGACGATAAGAGAACAAGTATCGATTGTAAAAAGGTTTCGATTTTTATACGCCTTACGTGAATATATTATTAATGATATAATACATATCAAAATAATTATATATTAATATTATATTGTAATATAATATATTACATTAAAATACATATATATGTATATTAACATATATATATGGTATATATAATTATATTATTATAATATTAATATTTAATTACGATTATGTATTATTCACAAGAATACTTTTTCAAAGAATGACAAATCGAAGAAGAGGGCATCGATACGCGAGAGTACTTTGATGTCTATACGACGAGATTAAACTACATCGCGCGCTTTACAAATTATTCATTCATCACCTCGATGTAACATAATATACGTGATTTTTTACACACATATATAATATATATTTTTTTATCTACATTCTCGTTAGTATAAATCCCAGTACACCTAAGTTCCATATCACAAAGACATGCCGTTCGGTATCACGATTTTTAATCCGCCGATCGTTCCGATCCCCCTCGAGCTTAATTGACTTCGCTGCTGTTCGCTGCTATCATTACCGACTGCATCAACACTCTTTTCAGCCTCTTTAACTTCGGTTTTTTTCTCATCACGTTTCTTATTACTTCGTCGTTGTCTCGTCACTCATCCACGCTCGGCTCTTACGACTGTCCGCCCCACGCACATGGTTTTGTTCGGTTCAACTAAATTTAGCGATTTCGCATCGCCAGAGTCATCGCGAGGCGCCCGGTTGCATTGTTCGCGGACTACATGCTGTCGTGTTCCAAAAGCAGTTCTTGATGAACAGATCGCTCGACGATTATAGTCGGCCACAAAGTAAAGCTTGAAATAACTCGGGGAAAATCAGTGACGGTAAGAGCTACTTAAAGCGCATCAGTGTTTAGCGATGGATAGTTAGCGAGGAAATGATGCATGTTAATGATTAATGATTTCTATATTGCAACCAATGCTATATTTGTACAAAATTATACAATAAAAAATCGATTACCTATATCAGCTTGAATCGAGTCCTCTTTCATTTTTTTTTCATACATACTTTCTCTTGTATAAATAAATAAACATCCGCAAAATTTCTTCCCGATTACCGAAAAGAGTTACATAGTAAAAAAACACGTTTTGTTTCTGATATGCTTCTAAAATGTTCACGGGACAATCGTTACAGAACAATTTATTACAATCATTTTTTCTTAAACACAAAATTAATAATTAATTATAACGTTTTCAATTTATATGATTTATAATGTAAAGTTTCTAACTTTTGACGGATAAAGCAAATAATTAGTGAATATTGATGATATGAATTTATTTGAGCGGCTTTTATATAGACATTTATATTATTTATATTAGATATACACATTTACATTACGAAAAGAACGATTTTGGTATACCTATATCTAAAAATTCAGCAATGTAAAAATCATTTTGTTGGACCATCAAAATAATTATGTAAAATACTCAAATAAAACTGGTTACTAGAATGTCAAAACTTTTTGTAGCATTGTTCATCATATTTGAGATTTCTACGTCATTATTTGGATGGTCCAACACAATTATTTTCAGATTTGTCTAGCTAAAATATTTAGATACTTTAGTAAAATCATTCTTTTCACATAAAAGCTACCGTGTTCTTTTCTTTGAAGTTGTAAAGGTCTATTTCTGAGTTTTCCACATATAAGAGCCGTCCATTCATGGTAGGATCTACGAAGCACCGATAATAATGCGGAACTAAAGCAGTTACAGGACATTCGAGTCGTTCACCCCGCACGAGTACGGAAGATCTCTTTTATTTTCGGACACGGTTCTTTGTCGTGTGTCCTTTAAACTGGGCTTCTCACTACAGAGACGCGTAAGACCTAACCGAACGTGCTTTGCGGGGAAAAGACTTGAAAGACGGATAGTGCGTAAAAAACGCGACTGTCACATCTCCCGAGTAAGAACCGCGTGGATAGAAAGCCGCTATTGAACACAGGGCATTTTCATCCTCGATAAAATGTACGCAGCACGAATAATGAGCACCGACACAAGAATGCACGAGGGGGAAATTAACCCAGTTAGCTCAGAAGAAGCCAAGAGAAGTTAACAAACCGGGCGCGATTCTTCCTGTCGTAAATTGCGCGTCGCGCTGTTCATCGCATCGAATTAAACGCCAGAGCGTCGTAAAATAAGCGAAGTACAACGCAGCCACCAGGTACGATATTTTCCCGGCGTTTCTCCGGTTCACCGCACTTGCTTTTATAATCAAAACTTGTTTCAGAATTGACTGAACTTCGAGTTCGGTTGAAACCGTAATGAGCGTTCATAATTCATCACTAATGGACTCGTGTAATGAGCAATTTGATGCAAGGAAAACAGCTTCCTGTATTTCCTACAAGAGCCGCATAATTACAATAATATGGAAAAAAGAATAATAAAGTGCATAATTAATTACAATAATCAAAAGTTAGCGTCAAAAGCATAAAAAAGATACTTTCGGCCCATTTCAAGAAACTAAAGAAAAATGTTGAAGTAATAATTGTTTAACGCGTGTCCCGTTCTACTCAATTAAAACAAATATATCTAAAACTACTATCTAAACGCATACAATACAAAATTTTACAAAACAAAATTACCAAAAAAAAAATCGTACAAATACTACAAACTGTACAAAATCGCATCGTCATATTTTTACAATATTTTTCTTCATAAGTAATTCAATTGGTTCGATCTACGAACTTTCTTGCTCAAATTACTGTCACGCTTTTGGCAAGTATATACAACAAATCGGACACATTGATGACGGAAAAGTGCATTTCGATATTTTCTTTCAGACCACAGAGAAACGACAGTGCGTTTCTTCAAAATCAGCAGCAAATTATTCTATTCAGTCGTATGCTTCTTTATCACGCTTATTGTGAGCGAATCGTTATACCTGCGCCGTCGTTATCGGCGACATCGCGACACGACAATATATCTGACATACTACATCATGTACGATCTATCGAACCGTCGCGGTTTCCCCGGGCTTCCCTTGGCACAATGACCTCCAGGTCGCTCGAACTACTCCCGCGCATCGTCGGCGGCTCGTAAGAGACGATCGACGTGCATTAATCATAATTCATGAACCGAGACTTATGTGAATGTAAATCAATCGACGATTCCTTTCGAGACCAGCTGACTTCTGTTGACGATTAATCCGATACGACCTGTCGTCTCATCTCCGATAAAATCGATTGTATTGAGGAAAATATATCACGTCGACAACGAGGACTAAATGACTCGTGTATTATGCATCGCGACAAATCTAACAGTAATATATTTACATACGTTTCTGTACTTATCCGCCTCGTCAATCAGTCGATTTGTTACACAGATCTGAAAAATTGGATTTCATGTTTCATCGTTCATCTCGAATAAAATGTAAAGTCCAATTTCAAAAAGGGCGAAACACAACCGAGCGGTGAATGAGTGCCTCATAGTCGCATTGTGTAGAGTGTCGAGATCGTCCTCACGATTTCCGGCACGTTTCGAGAAGAAGAAAAGTCCTTTGACTTTATGATTATACGTTCCGCAAAGGACTCGACGACGAGTGTTTTAAGACGCACAATCGCGTGTTGAATCGTTCTATACTCTACGCGGATTTCTGACACTTTGCTAGAGTTCTTAAGGTATTGTCACAGCGGAAAAATTCGCCTCTTATTGAAAAGCGTACCGACCGCATATTTTCACGGCGGAGGCAATGGCAACGAGAAAGAATCCTGAAACGAGCGGACCAGAGAACAACGCGAAGCGACGTCGCTGTGACTGAAGGTACGATTTCAAGGATTATCACGCAACCTTGTAGCGCCAGGTTAGGTGTGAGACATGAAACTCGTTATAGTATTGATGACAAATTTGCGAAAATAAGCCTTTCTTCGCTTAAACTTTTCTTTGGAACTCGTACGATTTTTCTCGAACGTTTTCAATTTCATTGATAACGTTCGCTTTTTAAGAGATGAATGCTCTGCCTTCAATCTAGAAAGCGGTGCATTTCATAGAAAACAGATCTCGTTTCTTTTCACCAAATTATAACCGATTCAAGTCTCATCGGCAGTTAGCCACAGCGACTGTAGAAACGCGACGCGTGAATCACAGCGGTATCCGAGATCGATGATAAGACAGTCACCCACCCTTTCGACCGCAAGTAACCTTCCTCGATGCCACGTCGAGGCGGCGCAGCAGCTCGGACGTCGCCCGAACGGCAGGCAGCGAGGCACAGCCGAGTTTCACGTTATTAGGTGACCGGGATCGGATCATCTTTATTTTTACGTTATGCATTCCTTTCCATCTATGAGGAATCCACGTGACCGTTTTTGTGACGAAACGCTCGTCAGTAGCAGTGTCTAGAACGGCATCGAGCGAGCGAGCGAGCCGAAGGAAGGAGAAAAGAACGACTGGCGTCACGTCTTGGCCTATCGTCTCAACTCCTCGAGAATCTCCTGGATGCCCGGCTGAAACGAGAGTACCAACCGGCTGGAGCTACTCGAGGAGCCGTGAGAGCTGTAATTATCGTGCGACGCGCCATTGTTATTGTGCTGCTGTTGCTGCTGCGTCTGATGCGTCTGACGAGCGCGCTGCGACTTGCCGGTCGTCGCACCGTCGACAGAATTGAGCGACTGATGGCTGCTACTCTGATTCGATCGATGACTACTATGCAACTGAGACTCGGACAGACAACCGTAAGACCCGAGTGGATAGGGATCGAAGATCGTCACCGGCAACTCGCTTGTGCGCTCTCTCTGCTGCTGACGTTCGGTCTTGCTCGCGGAAAGATCGCCGCTCGACGCATTGTTACCGCTCTGCAACTGATTGTTCGTCTTGCTGGAACTCCTACTACTGACGGAATTGAGCGACTGGTGACCGCTGCTCAGTCCCCCCGTCGTACCCCAAGTACTGCCGTGCAGCTGGGACGCGCCGTACGCCGACGAGTAACCCGTGTAAGCGGACACCACGTCCTCGACCAAACGGTTACCCCTTTGCTGACCTGCCGTCTTATTCGCAGAGATGTCGTCGCTGGTGTTATTGCCGCCCTGCAAACTGTTAGTCTTGCTAGAGGAGCTCCTGCCGCCGCCGCCGCCACCGCCGCCACCGCCACCGCCACCGCCGCCAGTTCCGCTAATGGAGTTCAGCGATTGGTGGCCGCTGCTTAACCCCCCCGTTGTGCCCCAAGTACCACCGTGTAATTGGGACGTATTGTACGAATAACCCGCATAAGCCGATACCATGTCCTCTACTAAACGGTTTCCTCTTGTCTGCTGACCCGTTGTTTTACTCGTCGATATGTCATCGCTGGTGTTATTGCTACTCTGCAGACTGTTAGTCTTACTGGAACTCCTGCTGCCGGATGCGGATGTTCTCAGAGTGGGACCGCCGCCGGTAGTCGCGGGTTGCGCCGATGTCACCGCCGGTAGCGTGTCGTTCTTGTCGCCCGGTGGCCTCGGTAATCGACGGCGCAGCCACGGATGCCTTAATGCTTTGTTCGGTGTCATTCGACATTCCGGTTCCCACACGAGGCAACGCCTGAGAAAGTCCAGGAACAACACATCGTCGCAACCCTTCAGGGCGCGCTCGAGATCGTGCGAGCCCGGCGGGCCGCGCAGCTTCCCTCGTCTCGAGAGACCCCCGCTTAGCACTGTCGTACCGTCCGGCATTGCCGTCGCGGTGCAGTACTTCGGGTAGCCCTTCGAGCTGATGAACTGACGCGACCGTTTCGAGTTTTGCAGCAATCGTTGTGGTGGCATGCCTAGCATTTCGATGATGCACGCCAGTTGGTCTGCCTCGTCTTCGCCTGGTAATAGTGGGAAACCGGTGAATAATTCCGCTAGGATGCAACCGAGACTCCACATGTCGATCGGCATTCCATATCTTGCGCCTAATATCACTTCTGGTGCGCGGTAGAAACGACTCTGAATGTAAGTGTATACCCGTTGATTCTCGTAGCAACTGGAACCGAAATCTATCACCTGCAACACGCGAAATGAGCTCATTAATACACTGAATCAATGCAACTTTGAATGATACGTTTATAATACGGAAAGAATGATTTTGTTGAAGAATATAAACATTTAGGTAAATACAGATCTGAAAATAATTCTGTTGAACTATCAAAAAATAATTATGTAAAACGATCAAACTAGTTGCTAAAATTTCATAACTTTCTAGCAGTATTACTCACCACACTTTAATTTCCTGCATAATTATTTTGATGGTTCAATAAAATTATTTTTAAATTTGTATTCACCTAAATTTTGAGATATTTTAGCAAAATTGTTCTTTTCGTGTAAATTTTTGGAGCGATAGTTTGAAAAATATTCAAATGGAAATTTTATTTATTGAAAAACAAAACTACTCATTCTAGAAAAGAAAAACTAAAATATTTGTTACAAAATATGGAATATCTACAGAAAGAACGGTTTTCAACTGAAATATCTAGACATTTAGCTAAATACAGATCTGAAAATAACTTTGTTAAACTATCAAAATAATTACATAGGACGCTCAAGTTAATTGTTATAATGTTAAAACTTTTTGAAGTATTGCTTATCATACTTTAGTTTCCTACATAATTATTTTGAAACTCCAACAGATTTATTTTTAGATCTATGTCCACCTAACCTTTTAGATATATTTCACCAAAGTTATTCTTTTTGTGTAGTTATTATAATATTTGAAATATTTATAATAAAACAGAATTATATAGAATTACTGCTGCAGCAACTTTATTTATCCTAACCCGACGTACCGTCGTAACTATATACATGCGAAACATATTCATTCGTGAGAATCGATCAAGTTCGTATAAAGCACAGGTTCGTTAATAATTTCTGAGCGCAAGTGGCACTAGAGCAGTGACGGCAAAACGGGATGTACTTCGAATACACGCGCGTTCGAATGTATCTGTTTCCAGTTCGTAAATGATGCACGTGGCCCACGTAAAGTAAAGCATGAGTATCGTTTATGGCGCACCTGGCAGCGAACGTGTCGTAATGATGGCCCGATAATTTTCCCTCACGTTTGCCGAACGTAATACCATTTCAATCACAACGTACCTCGGTAACTACCGCACGAATGCAGCGAAGTGAAAAGCAACTCGTCCATCTCGCAATGCGATTTCAACACGTTTTCTTGTCATATAAAATATTATTTCTTTATTCCGTGCAATAATATTTAATTAATGTATTTAAACGATCTAATTTTTTTGTAACAATATATGTATGTCTTTCTGCGTACTGTTACCAACACAAAAATTATCTACTAATTCAATTTCGGAAAAGTGTCAGTTTTTTAAGGTGACCCTACGTACTGACCCTAATACTGATCAGTAATATTGAATCAGTAATACTGACAGTATGTGCATCAATTTTTAGTATTTTTAACTTACCTATCTGTTGAACTGTGACATACTGTGACATAGATCCTAATAAAGCGATTCTGATGCTCGAGAATCAAAATCCAGATCACCGTCAATGTTCTACGTCAATCCATCAATATTAAATATTAACCACACATCGTCAGTATTATTGTCAATATTTGCTAATACTAACAGTATTATTGATCTTATATATAGGGCCACCTATACACTCTAAAAAAATATCGGTATAGATTTAACACCCATGCGGTGTCTATATAATTCTAACTGTGTTGGTTGGTGTTAATATTATCACCAATATCGTGTGGATTTCAAATTGATGTTTATATCAGCACTATCATGGTGTACATTTGAAATTCATGATATTAAATCTACATAATATTGGTGTTAATATTAACATCAATACAGTGAGAATTATATGTACAAACACAGTTATGTTTTAGTGTACATACAAAAATACGATACAAAAATATTCATGCCTTTATTTACATTGCGACACAAAAACGATAATTAATTTTTCGCGCTGTATTTCATGATTTACTCAGTATATTTTCCTGTTTAATTTACGACTTTCTAGTAGTTATCAGTATTATTACGTTTCTCGATACTTGGGACGACGACTAGCAAGAGATGGGTAAGACTGATTGCAACGTCGCGGTCGTGCAATTCGATAATCCATGCCTTCTGGCCTACTTTAATATTTCGGGTAACATCGTCCCTTTCGTGTAGCGAACAGAAACAGCATGTTGGAGATTGTCCAGGATTCAGCTCGGCTCACTTTAGACTTGGCTGTTCGGTCGCGATGCGCGATTTCAATGAATTATAATTTCCGACAATCAATACCTGATACACAACCTCCAGCGAAATTTGTTCAAAAATAGCTTGTCTTTATGGATCAAGAAACCGAGATACCAAGCATCGATATAGACACATTTATTAACGATATTGACTTCTCCACGTATATAGAAAAAGTTGTCTCTTTCATTTTTTATTGAATTTAGCTAATAAAATAGAGATCAAATTTCTAGCGAGGATAGATGATGAATTTCTTGTTTGGTATTTATGAAATGTTTTTAAAATTTTTTTTGCGTTTCTTTACAACATTTACAATATTAGAACAGAAAGCGCAAGAACACTCACTCCAATAATGCGATATAATACGGTACTTAAGTGCAAAGTATTTTCTCTCAAGAGAGATGTCTTCTTAAAAAAGACATTCTTATTTTTAAGAAGTAGTAAACATTAATTATAGCAATTTATTAATAATAAATAAAATAGACTGTATGTTTCTCAAATAATTTTATCTAAAAAAATGTGTAATAATTAAAATACATTATTTTAATATTATAATAAGCAAAAGCGAAAATTGTATTATTTGGATGAACAAAAAGTATTTGTATAATGAGAAATTAGTTTCTAAAATTATAAATATGTTTTCGCAGAACTTTTTTATTATTACGATAGAATGTACTCATTGGTCATAAATTAATAGTTAGTTAATGTTTATTTTCTACATATAAGATCATTTTTAAAAAAATTTTCCATGTATAAATATATGATTTGCATTCATAATACATGATAATGACTCGTTACACTATCTACCGATAATATCTATCTTACAATTACATATTATCCGTATATAATTAAATCCTCCATTAAATTTTCCGGCTTAAGATAAATGAGAAGAATCCGGTTGAAAGAAAGCAGAAAAGAATTATCTAGGACACTTCGTACATCCTGCTTTCGTGGTTATTGCGCGAAATGATGAGCAGGAGAAAATAATTCGCAATTAATCAAGAGCCACAACCATGAAGGCATAATTCGGTGTACACCTCTATATTTTTCTGTATCGATAGAAAGTCCGCTTTCCAACGCGCTTTGGAATGATACTCGTGTTCGACTTGTGTCTACAAGAAAATACATCGTATAAAAATGTCGCTCCTAGGAAAGAATTAATCGCCATAATTCACAATAAATTTCTGAGAATAAACACGTGACACGTTTGATTAGTTTCAATTATATCCCTGAGTGAATCAGCATTTGGCACAAGTTCGAGCGGTGAGTTCAGTGAAAAATGACTCTGCTTATCCTGCGACCCCAAACTTCGACGTTTTCACTTGACCCCGTGGCAGACACGTAAGCAGTCTTCACGTGCGTCATCGTTACAAAACATTCGGGGTTGATCGATTTCAAGGGGCGACCGACCGGCTGGCCGGAAGTTTTCGTAAAGTGCACTTTTGACGGAAGTGCTCGTCATCCAGATACCCTAAAATCAATTTTTCCTCTATGACGTCAACAGCCCATTTTTAGAATTCCAATGTGGCTAATGGAGCTTCGGGCTTTACCACAAAGAAATCTAGACAGAGTTCAAACGATTAAATATAAAAAACAAAAGTCGATGGATCTGCATCATTTTTTTCAATTATATGAGTCTTTTTAATACTTAATATACACGAAATATTTCGGAAAAAAAAAAAATAAATAAAATTGTCAAAAATCTAATTTGCAAACTCTCTGTTATTGCTCTTTTAATGACTTCGTAATTTAATTTCCAAAAATATCTTCCGCTAGAAAATTTTTTGTCTCACAGCATGTTTATCATGCATACCATTACGCGAAATAATATATTCACCCCTGCATATATGCAGCTGCAGCAATGCAAGATATTCGTAGGGAACGCGACCTCTCTCACTGAATTTGTAAATGGTTGCGAATATTTATTGAGAATTAACTCTACGAAGTAAACAGCTCATTTTTAGAATTTTAATATTATACATATAGTTAATAACAAGTTTACATTATACGTATACCTAATTAATAATAACCAGTGTTTTCTTCAGTTCTTAAAAATTATGTGATTTACATAAAATTACGAAATCTCGAACGTAATTTTTACAATTTGTATAAATTATTATCGAATATCATTTTCGTCTACAGCTGAGAGAAATGTGCTCGGTATTTGTATCTATAATTGCAAGGTAAAATAATTATAATTGTGAGATCCACTTTTGGTATATATATAGAACTATAAATATTATTACTACTAATATTATAGCAGTAATAATTATAAAAATGGAGCTTCTGCCTTAATAATTATTTTCCCATGCAATTGTAAACATAAATAGCAAGCACTTCTTTCTCATATTGTGTGTGGTAATTTTTAAATACGTCGATGTTCTCAATTTTATTCTTTTCTTCGCGTTTCAGTAATTTCCAAAGAAATTGCATTAGTCTTTCTCACGGAACGATTGATCCGCGTTTTATTTTTGAACTTCATCGAGAAAGTCTTTTTCAATAATTTTCTCTTTGAAGCAAATAGGTCGAGATCAATAGGCACTACAGAGGCAGGAAATGAAAAGGGCAACTGTATAGGCACCTTCAGCGTTTTAATTTACGATCTCCGCGGTTGCGGTGACTTCTTTTTCTTCTCAGATAACCGCACAAGAGGAAGCGCTTCGCCTTTGCGAAAGGGACGAGCTCGCAGAGGCTATCCGGCGTCGCGTCGAGACGCTTTATCGTGCCCCGTGAAATGAGATATGAGGGGGAGAATGTTTATTCGCGGTTTCCCCCGCTTCGTTCCGCGCCGCGCGCGAG